GCGAACGGGGTATAAGGCTCTAGTTTAGTAGTGTTACAGAGTATAATACGTATATTTTAATATATTTTTTAAAAGAAACAAAACCGCTGAGAAATGTTACGTGTGTTTAACAACGGGTTCGGAAAACTTTGAAAATGTTAACAACGGGTTCGGCCGAACCTGTGCGAACCCGCTGAATATCACCACTGAATCTATCCAAAAATAATATGTATTTACTTACTTGTCTTAAAAAGAAACAACTATTAAATATATTTTAAAAATAATATAATTTATTGTTTCACAAATAAAAACAAGAGATATAGGTAACCTCCGTATAACACGGCACTTCTATAGCACGGATTCGCTCTAACACGGTTCGAGAATTGGGAACATCCCCCGTATAACACGGCACTTCTATAGCACGGGTTCACTCTAACACGGTTCGGGAATTGGGTAAAACCCTCGTATATGAAATGTAATAAAGGGTGCGTTCTTTTATATTTCTGCGTAACTCCGCGCGAGCATTCTAATTGTTTTCGTTGCTACTTTGAATGCTCTTTCAACAAATAATCCATTTAATGGTTAAATTTTACAATTGGGACCCTTCTTTTGCCTCTAAAAGCTCATTTTAGAATTATAGATTCCTCTACCCGATACTATGGATAGTGCGGGCGCCGCCATCTTTCTTTCACCGTCGTTCCTAAATGCCTACAAACAGCGGCGCACTCCCGTTACAGACCGACCGCTATTAACGAACGCACCCACAAACTGTTACCAGTTGATGATGCTCATGCTGAGATCATCATAAAAAATGAATAATCCTCTGGTAAAATATTTAATTAAATAATAAATATTTTATCTATGAAAAACTGAACAATAAATCCGATTTAAATAAGGATTTAACAACATATTTTTTAATTTTTGGAACCTAACTCCCTTTTCGCACTAGTTCTTTGTTTCGTATAACACGGATTCGCATAACACGGCAATTTTCTGGAACGTAACTCCCGTGTTATTACGGGGGTTACCTATATATATATATTTTTTTTCGGGCTTCTAACCGATCTTCAGGAGTTTACAGAGTATAAATAAAATAGTTTACTAAATAAAATATGTATTTGGTTTCCCGGCTTTATACCTATTTTATTTTTGAGTGGAAAGGAAAAAAGAAAGAATCAGAGTTTCCAGATGTTTTTAGTGTTTGTAGCTAAAAATTTTCTAAAAAGTAGCCATCTCAATAGTATGTATAATTTTACGTCTTTATGAAACTTCTTTATTGAGGTTTATGCCGTTGAAATAAATAAATAAATTTGTCAGTTTTGTTTGCATGTTTATTGGGCCGCATTGGAACTTGCCTTGGGCCGCGGATTGGACATCCCTGATTTAATTCTAGATCAGATTATAACGAAATTGAGGATATTGAAAATTATTTTAGATTTAGTTTTCTCAAGTAACTTTCAGGAAAATATTTTGTTATACATTCTTGGAAGCATAATAAGATTATTATTAAATAATATAACATGTACTGATCAAAGCTCCTGAAAACATAGGTTGAGTATGAAAAGTTGACTTTTCTATCAGAAAATTTTCTTTATTTTGTGTCTTTTGATTTCCTAATTGATTTATCAAATGAAGTTTTTAGTATTATAAAATATTCCGAAAAAGCATTATAGTTATTAATATTTGAACAAAAATGATAAATAAGAAAATTATTGATAAAATTATTATAACAAGTATCATGAGAAAACTGTTAACTGCAAATCAATTCCCATTTGTTTTTTTTTTATATCAAATAGATAATGAGAATACCTGTAAAACCATGCAGGAGTTATAAATTGTGTAGAAAATAATTCAGGTGTATGCAGGGCCATATGGAGTCCAGAGTAGAGTTAGCCCTTTTTGCCCTTAGCAGCATATTTTCATTGTAATATTTAATTTTTTTTTGTTATATAACTGTTAAACAGAATTGAAAAGTTAGTCATCTAAAGTTGTTTAGAAATTTCTATCTAAAATTTGTAGTATAATAAATTAATAATAATTATTATTTTTAATAGCATGAAGACCTATGTAACATACAAAAAAAGAATCGGAAATTATTAAAGGAATGTGAAGGGTCTCTTTCAACTGTAGACATAGATAAAGAAATATATCCTTGGTATAATTATAAACCAGATATGACTGCATTGAAACAATGGTCAGAACGTTTAAAAAATGAAAGGAAAGTCAAAAGTAAGTTTTAGCAAATTTGATTTACAGTAGAGCATCGATTATCCGAGACAATTCGGGACTGGGGTTGTTCGGATAACTGATCATGTATGAAAAAATATATTAACCTATCCCATGTAGAAATTTTTCTCCATTGTGTGTCGCTTCGCGTTGAATTTTCGTCAATGTTAAACCTAACGAAAATTTTTTAAAAATAATAATCGTGGCTGTTGTAACAAAATAAATATATTGAAAAATAAATTATATTTCGGAAGTTAATCTAATATCAAAAACGTTCCGATTCAGCACGACACGACCCGACAACACAGTCCTCAGAAAAACACCACACAAAACAAGCAAAACTCTTCCTTTTTCTTGGGTTTATCTGGCGATGTCAGCCGCTTGGGCTATATTCTCCGACGAGCTGAAGCAAAACACACCACTCACGATGGGGGGAAAAAGCCTTGTTCAAATACTTGTGCATCCTTAAGTATCCTCTCGATGTGTGTCATGCTGAATCGGAACATTTTTGATACTAGATTAACTTCCGAAATATAATTATTTTTTTGTTTTTACATTTTTCAATATATTTATTATGTTTGTGCGAAATAAAAAAATAATTTTTAATGATACAATATGCTTATGCCACTACTGCCAACTAAAACATGCACACCAGCAAAAATAATATTGGTGCAGCCCAAGACATAGTCAAATATTGCAGTGCTACAGCACTAGTGGAAACTTGAATTTGCCGACTGGAACGCTTTCGGATAGCAGATGTTTCGGTTGATCGGTATTCGGATAATTGATGATACACTGTATTGGTAATACATTAGAAATGCATATGCTGTAGACAATAAAAGTATATACACATAATATATAACTAATTTAAAGTATATGCTGCAGTTTAAAAATATAAATTAGTTAGGATTTATACTATCCTAGGCTATAGTTAATTAACATTCATACAAATTTTATGTAAAAAATTTATTTTCATACGTTTATGCTATATTATTCTGTTTTATAAATACAGTATATTATTATATAACAAATAATAATTATTTTAATATTCCAAATATAGGGTTGGCAACTAAGTGATTGCGGATTTTGTCAATAGGTGGCCTTAGCACATTTTTTTGCTTTGTTTTCTTGTTGTTTGGACTTCCACCTTTAATTTAGTAAAAAAATTGTATCGATTAGTTATTTAGTTTTGTTTTTATCCCAATTTAAAAGTGGAAGAACAAGACGTGCATTTCAGACATATTTTATTGTATTATTTCCGAAAAGGCAAGAACACATCATAAGCATACAAGAAGTTATGTGCTGTATATGGGAATGAAGCCTTGAAAGAAAGGCAGTGTCAAAGTTGGTTTGTCAAATTTCGTTCTGGTGATTTTTCACTGAAAAATGCTCAACGATCTGGCCGTCCAGTTGAAGTTGATGAGACCCATATCAAGACCATTATCGATTCAGATCGTCATAGCACAACGCATGAGATTGCACAGAAGCTCAATGTATTGCATACATGCATTCAAAAAAAATTAAAACAGCTTGGCTTTGTCAAGAAACTGGATTTATGGTCCCTCATCAGCTTAAGGAAATTTATTTGACACAATGCATTAGCATCTGTGATTCACTTCTGAAACACAACAAGATTGATCCATTTCTGAAATGACTGATTGCTGGCGATGAAAAGTGGATAGTTTATAGCAACGTTAATCGGAAAAGATCGTGGGTGATGTGAGATGAACCAGCCCAGATGACACCAAAAGCTGAGATTCACCAAAAAAAGATTATGCTGTTAGTTTGGTGGGATTATAAAGGAATTCTGTACTTTGAACTTTTACCAAGAAACCAAACAATTAATTCAAATGTGTATGTTCAACAAATCACCAAACTAAGCGATGCAGTTCAAGAAAAGCGGCCAGAATTGGCAAATTGCAAGGATGTTGTTTTCCAGCATGATGATGCAAAGCCCCACACATCTTTGGTCACTTGCCAAAAATTATTGGAGCTAGGTTGGGATGTGTTGTCACGTCCACCATATAGCCCTGACCTTGCGCCTTCAGATTATCATTTATTTCGTTCCATGCAGAACTCCTTAAATGGTAAAATTTTTAATGACGCTGATGATGTGAAACAGTTTAATTCAGTTTTTTGCTGGCAAAAATCAAGTTTTATGAACATGGAATTATGACACTGTCTGAAAGATGGCAAGAGGTCATTGACAAAAATGGACAATACCTAATTGAATAAAGTTATATTTTTAAGCAAAAATTTTGAATTTTCCTTCTTATTTAAAATCTGCAATCACTTAGTTGCCAACCCTATATATTAAAAATATTTTTAAATTAATATATATAGACTAAATGTTATAAATAATTTTAAAAATTTATCAATTCAAGCCAATTTATCAATTTCAGAAAAAGGTAATAAAGACAATTCTAGGAATTCTGCAATTAAAATTAATAGCTATACAAAAATGGCAAGGGAACGATCAGAATTTCGTCAATTCCTTGTGAATTTATTTAGGTATATGAAAGTTTTACTAATAAATTATATTGATATATATATATATATATATAACCTTATGTATCAAAAAACTAATATTTTATTTTCAAGATGATTTTTCTTAACTACTTACAAAATATCAATAAAAGTGATTAACTTTATTCTATAATTTTTGACTGCAATTTATATTTAAGGGAAAACCATACACACAGTCCTAAAGAAAATGAAACTGGTGATATACTAATGAAAGAAGAAGAAGAAAAATTAGTAAGTTTGGCTTTTATGTATTAATTGACACAAAACATATTCTTCCTTATACTTTGATAAAATAATGTATATTTTCTTATATTCATCAAATAACTGATTCTTTTTGATTAATCTGTTACTAAACAAATATAATCTATATATAAATTAAGTATTCAACAAATACAAAAACTATAATGTCATCACAAAAAATATTTTTAACTACTGAAAGAAATTTAACTTATACAACTGAACACAAAAACAAGGTCTAAGCCATATATGTGTCTTAAATTCTTACTTTCTTAAAATTTTATTTCAGAAACAAGTTTTTGATTAGAGTTGATGGTCTAATTCAAGGATCAAAAACTGTTAATATAGTAAAAGCCATGGATTAGACTCTGTTAGAGGCAATTTTAATAAATGAGTTCACTTCTAAGATCTGATCAGTGACTATTATTACAGTTAATAAAGGAATGTGAAGAACAGTGGAGTACCATCCATGGAAGCTGTGGAAGCATTGCTTCCCTTGTATTTTCTAAAATATAAATACATATTGTGTGATTATTTTCATATTTTAACTTAACATACTTCGAATTAATTAAAATTAGTATTTTATTATGACTGCATTATGTACCTCATTACAAATTTCTATCTACATGTGAAAAAAAAAAAATGATAAGATTGCTATTGTACATTCTAATATAAATTCGTAAATGCATATTTCCAATGGGAACACTGTATTGTTGAATACAGGATAGCTTCCATGGCAAAAATATTTGAATGGTGTAAAGCAGCCAGATTACAGGCATTTGTGCATGCACTTTACAGAGCACCAACCTCATGCGGTTTAGCACATGGATGCTACAGACCAAAATATTGCATAATGCTTCCAATGATTTATCGAGGGCAGGCATAGCTTTCCTATCATCAAATGTCACCACATACCACTGGAAAAATAAATAAATAAATAAATATATATATATATACTAGTTTTTTACACCTTGCATTACCCAGGTTTACAAGAGAAAAATTTAAAACATATAAAATTATTATTAAGTTTATGAAAATACTTGTTCAAAAACATTCAGGTCCTTAGATGACAACCTGACTTTAATAGCAGGAAAAAAAAAAAAATATTTTTCACAGTATAACTTGGAAATGTGAATATGTTTTCTGGCATCACAAATTATATTGTTGATGTTAATTATCCCTTTACATACTTTTGAGTTGTAAGGACAGGGTGGCTTTTATGATAGTTCTTCATTATTATATTGATATATATGAAACCTGATAATTTTCATTGTATTGCATTTTGTGTAGCACAGAAATGTTGAAATAGTCTATTCTAAAATTACAAATATTTACAATAGTAGATAATGTAATAAATTGATTATAAGATTATGAAATTGTAAAACTTTAAAATTGGAATAAATTACCAGTATAAAATTGTTACTAAATAAAGTTATTTTCTTTTGCCTTTTATATAATGAAATTTTGTAATAAATTTTTTATATTTAATATCTCCATATAAAATATTTTTATACAATTTAGCACAATGTTTTCAATTTTATTTACTTACAGAAATATTATTATTATATTCGAACTGGAATTGATTTACAAAATATAGCACCATTAGAAAAATGTTGGATAGATAAAATAATCAATTGGGTGAATCCTTTTTTATTGGTAAAAACTTTTTTAATAATTCTCATTATTTATTAATTATTATTTTTATTATTTGATATTTATATTTATCAGTGAATATTTATCATATAAAAAAAATTAAAAGTTATACAGAATTGTGCACATAAAACCAGTTCCAAATGCAAAAAAAAAAAAAAGTTGTAAAGTTATATTTCTTATTTCTGTACTCCATATTAACTCAATTTTGCCTTCTTCCAACAAGTCAATTTGCTATATCTCTCATCTTTCACCCATTCATATTATAGTGATTTTATTGAAGAAAGGACAATCAGTAAGGATATATGGATTGCCACTCACTTGGCTTATCACCACGTAACTTTTACCTGTGTAGCTTGCTAAAAGAAAAAAATTTATTGTGACAACATTTGAATGTTGGAAGAGTTGAAAATCCACATATGACTAGAGATTGCTAAATTGCAGTTGCTGAACCGAAGAGTGTTTTCAAGAACATGCATTGGTGAGCAGTGCAGCTTTGATAGTAACTTTCACCTGAGGTTAATCTGATTTTTGCCATCTTTGCTTTCACAACAGTTATCAATAGAGTGCCAGTATTCAATTGTTTCTTGTTCTTTCTTTTTAGATCATCGGAAGTAAGCACAGAATTGCTGCAGAGAACTTACCATACAGGAACACAATTGATTGACTATGAAGACTTTCAATATCACACAAAGCGTATCACACAATATGAAGACTTTATTATCTAAAAAGGATTTGCATTTTGGGCAATTCATCTTTCCTCAGTCCTTTACACATTTCTGGTAAAATGACAATAAATTGTGGTTTGGTTTACAACTATATTAAAACCTTGTTATTTTTGAAACACAAGGGACAAAAAAAACATGACTTATCTGAACTTCTTTCAAATCAAAGTTTTTTGTAATTCTTGAATAAAATTATGACATTTCCTTATATACAGTAATTGCACTCATTTGTTTACAAATGCATTAATATTATGATTTATTACTTAGTAATTTAAGCTGTTTCAAAAAAACTTGCCAGTTGGCAAAGCTATAATGAAAGCAATGAAAACAACCAAATTACATTCAAAGCAAGACTTGAAAATAACATATGAAAAAAAGCTTAAGTACTTCAATAAGAATTACCATGAGCTTTGTCTTGTTTGTGATTACGAAAATCATGTGATCTGATGAAAGAAGCTCTATTAATGGCTAAAGCTATAAGTGTGCATTCTATTGTGAATACACATATGTATTTAACAGAATTTAGAATTATTGAAACAGTAGATTTTTGCAAAAAAATGTCCAAAATAATTAAATGCCAAAGAGATTTCTTAAATAATAAAAGAAATAATAAAAAATTTTCTTTTCATTGGCAATTTGTACAATGTCCAAATGGCCTTGATGAAACTGAAACCAAAACTGTACTTGGGCATGGAAACTTTCTTATAAACATGAAATATGATGGAAGATTTTGACCTAAACAATATTTTTGCAGGTTACTGGATCAGATAATGACTTCAAATTTCATTGTACATGTATTTTGAATTATCTGAACTAAAATATATGCAAAATCCTATTCTCTTGACTGGGGACTAGACTTGACTTTTAATTATCTAAAATCAAAATAACAAGGTTTTACTGTATTTATTAACTTATACATATATAAAACACAAAAATAAATTTACCTGAAATGATATGAAACAGCTGGAATAAAACATTTTTANCTTATTTCAATATTTTAAGAATTTAATATTAATATTAAAATTAAAATAATACTAGTTATCCAAAAATTGATTATATCAATTTTTAAAATTTACTCAATTCCTAAATATCTGTGTTTATAAAGCTCATTCCTAAATGCCTTTAAGCAGTTACTTTTGTTTAGTTACTAATTAATCATTATAGAACTCTTCATTAAACTGCAGCTTGGAAACATTCATAATTTCAATAAATATTAAATTGGTCTCTAAATATAGTAAAGGAATTGCAATGTTTGGAAATATTTCAATCAATTCAATTAACTATATCAAATGAAACAAAATATTAGAAAATTATCAGTTTCTAGTCATAAAATAGTAATGGTGAACAATTATTAGCTTTATGAAAAATTATTAAAAATCTTGTATGTATATATATATATACACACATAATAAGTATTATTCTTATTTTATTTTAATAACTTTCCATCATAAAATAATATTGTAATTATTATACATATAACAAATAATTAGTTTAAATAGTTTGAAATATTATTTATTTGCAATTATTCAATAATATTCACTTCTTGAAATATTAGATAATGCATTATTCTAAGAACCATATGACTCATGCAATTGAAGCACCATTGAGACATCATATAGAAACTTGGTATTGTAAGCATTGATGTTTGTTATCAAGTAAATTATATTCACATCGCCTTTGTTTTATTCTCAATTTTTATATCAAACATTTTCTCTGTCTTTTGGAAGCAGTTTTTATTACCAGTAAATATATTAGATTCAAACTGTGTATAGCATTTAGTTTCCAATCTATATACTGTATATAAAAATGAATGTGTGTGTGTGTGTGTGTCCTTCATGCATTACCACACCGTTTATCCGATTGCCGTGAAACTTTGGGAAGTTGTTTAATATACTCCGGCGAAGGTTTGTGGCATAGTATGATTGCCATAAAACTTCGGAAAGTTTTTAATACACTCCCGCGAAGGTTTTGGCATAGTACATTTATCCTACGATAGATGGCACGCGTTTACACGAGCATTCGAGCACAGTGTGTTCGATCGATTTCAAATTGTGAAGACCATTTCCCCCTTTAAAAAATATTTCTATATATGCATTTGTGAACTGTTATTTACGATATTCGTAATAATGTTTGTTTAATCACTTTATTTCAACTTTTTTTTGCTAATTACTACGTATTCGCTTGAACTTTGTTAAAACTTTAACTGTATACCGAACAACAACCAAAGTTGTAGAAGGAAATTCGCCTATTTTACCGATCTAGGGATCCCCTTTTCCAAATTTTAATATCATGTAATAATTTAAAAAGACAAATTACAATAAAACGGTTTATTATCCAACTATCAGAAATTTCACAACATGCCAAGGAAGAGAGGAAGGAGCAATTAAATAATTAAAATTATAAAGGATCTAAAAATATATATAAAAATGGGGAATATCGCACTTTTGACAATCGCAGCGAGTGTGTGGGCTAAATTTGGAGAATCCGTGCTTCTCGAATGGACAACTGTATGTGGCTGGCTCGCGTCGAAAAACCTTCCAATTTATTCGTGTACGCACCAGACGGAAAAACAAAAAATATCGTGTATCCACAAACACTCCAATAAATAAATAGAATTGAAACGACACTTTGAAATGTTTTCCNTTGCTAAAAAATCTATAGGAAGAAAAAATGAGCACATAAAAATCCACTAAAATTATTATTTAATTAATATTGTGTTTGGTTTTTTTGATCAATTCTTTGATTTTTTCTAAATTATTAATACTATTGTTTAATGCAGTGGTTTTCAAAGTGCGCCCTAGAAGATTTCCGGGTGCACCCTATGGTATTCCAGAGAAATATGTGCCCAGATATAAAAATAAATATAGTTACAGTATTCTATTATACAATTTCATTATGTAAATACCGTTCTTTTTGTTAACACGTCATTATTATATTTATTATTAACACATCATTATATTATTTTTAGATAAATATACCCAAATAAAATGCATAGATTTCTCAAAAAGAAGCGTGATATTGAAGAATCTGATTCTGGAAGTGAGCAAAAGTTAAGTGCAAGTAAGAAAGCAAAATTTCAGCCTTCTCGCAAACATAATGAAAGTTATTTAAGCTTTGGTTTTACTTGGACCGGCAGTGAAGATCTTCCTTTACCTCTATGTTTAGTATGTGAATGTAAACTGGCAAATGAAACATTGCTTCCTAGTAAATTGAGTAAACATTTTAAAACTATACACTAATTTACAAGATAAATCTAAGTTTTTTCAAGAGATTGTCTGAACAGCAAACAAAAACGGCAAAATCTTTTAAAAGTATAATGACAGTTTCTGATAAAGCTCAAATCGCTTCTTATCAAGTTTCAGAACTGATAGCAAGAAATATGAAAGCTCATACTTTAGGTGAGCCACTTATTTTGCCTGAATGCAAAAAAATGGTCATGACAATGCTTGGAAATGAAGCAGCAATGAAAATAAGCAAAATTTCTCTGTCTAACAATACAGTTCACAGGCATATTATAAAAATGTCTTCTGATATTGAGAAAAATGTATGCAGTAATAAGCTTCAGTATTCAAATTTTGCATTGCAAGTTGATGAGTCAACAGACATTACCAACACGGCACAACTCTTAGCATTCATCTATTTTATTAATGGAGATCAAATAGTAAACCAGTTTCTTTTTTGTAAAGAATTAAATGTATCTATAAAAGGTAAAGATGTTTTTAACATTTTGAATAATTATCTTGATAAATGGCAGTTAACATGAAAGTTGTGTGCAGGCATTTGTACAGATGGCACTCCTTCTATGATAGGCTGTGTTAAGAGTCTTACATCTTTTGTAAAAAAAACAAAATGAGAATGTTATCGTAACTCACTGCTTTCTCCTTAGGGAGGCCTTGATGGCAAAAACATTGGGAGAAATAATTAAGAGAAGTTTTAGATCAAGTTGTTCAGATGGTAAACTTTATTAAAACAAGCCAGTCAAATCACGTTTATTCAAAAAGCTTTGTATCGATATGGATTCACAACACAGACTGCTGCTTTTACACATTGAGGTGAGGTGATTGTCAAGGGGAAAATTACTTACCCATGTACATGCGTTATGACAATAACTTCTTGCATTTTTTGAAGAGATGAAACAGTTAAAATTTTTGTAACCTCCCTCAGAATTTTGGATTGCCAGGTTACAGTATTTGGCTGATATATTTCAGCAGCTCAATATTTTGAATACAGTAGAACCTCGAAAACTCGGCCTAATGTGGACCGAAGGGTGGCCGAGTTTGTGAAAATGCCGGGTTATCGGGAATGGGGTTAAAAAAATAAGTATGAGTGTTTCCTCAGAAAATACTGTACTGTACTTGTATGTATTGTTTACTTGAGAATATAACAGAGAATAAACTGCCCAAATACCCTTAAACAAAGGAAAAGTACGTCCTTTATGAAGGCATAGAGCCTTTACTACATGAAAATGAAAATTAATGAATACACTGTGTACAGTAATTTACCTGATAAGACAGACATCAGAAAAATACTTTATGAGAGCTTTTATAAAGCTGTCTATAATGAAAATTAATTAACTAAGGATTTTTTTGCCCTGCCAGGGTGTGGCCGAGTTATCCGGAGTGCCGGGTTATCGAGAGCCGAGTTTTCGAGGTTCTACTGTACTAGCACACAAGGGAAAAAAGAAAATATTCTCACATCCACTGACAAAATGAAAGCATTTCAGAGAAAACTACAGATTTGGAAAAGAAAAGCTGTTGAACGTAGTTTGGAAATATTTCCATTGGTAAATAATATTTGCATAAATGAAACACTTCCAATAACAATTGAACATTTAATAAGTTTAGAAGAAAAATTGGGTTCTTATTTTCCATCACTTAACACTGAACAATATGATTGGATTAGAAACCCATTCATGGAAGCTTCAAGTGGTTTTGGTTTAATATTAACAGAAGTAGAACTGGCAGCTATATCCACTAATCGTGGATTGATGATTAAACATAAGGAATTGTCTCTTGAAGCCTATTGGATTTCTATAAAAGAAGAATATGTGGTAATATCTAAAAATGCTTTGAACATTTTACTACAGTTTTCAACATCCTATATATGTGAATAAGATTTTCTATCCTCAACACAATTAAGAGTAAAAAGAGATGAATTCTTCAATGTATTGACGAGGAAATGAGAGTTTGCCTTTCAAATATATTCCCAAACATTGAAGAACTCACTAGGACACATCAGGCTCATGTTTCTCATGAACACAAGAATGAAAAAACTTAACACATTTGTTCCGGACTTGCCAAATTTACTAAATCTTGCTATGAATGTATTTATATATATAAAAAGATAACTTTTTGTTGATTTTTATTTTTTAATCCTTCAATTTTATGAATCCTAAAAAGCATAACTCAAAAAATGTAACACAAAAATATTTTTTAATATCAGAGTAAAATTTAATTTTGTCGTATTTATTTCATTTAAGTACTATAAAATTACACTTGGACTTTATATTTTTTTTCTTTAATATTTGACTTAATTATTATAACATATTTCTCAGAAATTTGTATATAGTTGCACCTACAATTTTTTGTAGGATTTTAAATGTGCCCTGACTTCAAAAAGTTTGAGAACCACTGGTTTAATCTAAGGACTAGGACAATATTACATGATTTAAATACTTTCTGTATTTTTTCAAAAATGACAGGAATATAATTCAGCTTTTTATAAATTAGTTGCATTTGTGATATTGTTTTATAGTGTTATTAAGCCATTTATTGATTATTCTATTAGGATACCCATTGAGTTGTAAAGTGCAATATATACTATGTATGTTTGATTTGTTTATTTTGGTCCATGTATTGGTTGTATGTTGTTTAATTTTATATATGTATTAAATATATTACTGAAAAATTCAACATGCCATTATTCTGTTTCTCAATGTCAATGCATATATTATTTTGGATATTATTCCTGCAGTCAAATGTTATTTGAGTATTAATTAAGTCTTATATTGATGAATGTCTTGTTATTTACGACACAGTAAATAACAAGGCAGTCATCAATGTTTCTATTTTATTTTATTTTACAATAAAATGTATCTATTGTAAAACGTCACACTGTGAAAATTAGAGATCTCACTTGACAGCATCAAAATTATCAAAAGGAAAAAAAATATGTAAAAAGGAAACTATTTGAACATGTAGAAATCATTAAAATTAATGAAAATAGAATGAATTTATTTAAAAAATAGAAGAAATTGAAATGCCTTCATTATGTCCTTTTATACAAGGTGTTAGATCACCACAACTCTATTGTTAAAGGAAAAGTATGATGTACAAGGGCAAGACACTACAGTACTAATTTGAGGTAGAGAGCATATAATTTAAATTAAAAAAATTAAAAATATGATTAAAAATTGCAGCCAGGCATTGTGACCATGTCACAATAAATAATTGCTTGTTGTATTTTAATAGTATNTATTTCAATATTTTAAGAATTTAATATTAATATTAAAATTAAAATAATACTAGTTATCCAAAAATTGATTATATCAATTTTTAAAATTTACTCAATTCCTAAATATCTGTGTTTATAAAGCTCATTCCTAAATGCCTTTAAGCAGTTACTTTTGTTTAGTTACTAATTAATCATTATAGAACTCTTCATTAAACTGCAGCTTGGAAACATTCATAATTTCAATAAATATTAAATTGGTCTCTAAATATAGTAAAGGAATTGCAATGTTTGGAAATATTTCAATCAATTCAATTAACTATATCAAATGAAACAAAATATTAGAAAATTATCAGTTTCTAGTCATAAAATAGTAATGGTGAACAATTATTAGCTTTATGAAAAATTATTAAAAATCTTGATTTTTTGTAATTTGACCTCTTATCAAATTCAATATATTATCCTTATTCACAATATAAAAAAAATTATTCTTAAGACAAAAACTAAACAAAACAAAATTAATTTTTTAATTAGTTTATTATTATTTGAGAAATATTATTTAAATATTTTATAACTGATTTTATAAATAAATACTGTATCAACAACAATTTCTTTTCAAAATGATCTCTATAGAATCTTTAAAAGCTTTGGAGATTAAACAACAAGAGAAATACTAACAAAATTACAGTACTACTATCTTAAAAATACTAAAAACAGAATTACAGTTCTCTATCTTAGAGATATGACTATCCCTTTGAATAAAGCATTAAAACTAGTTCAATTAATTAACTTTGTCACAAATNATTGTCTCTTGAAGCCTATTGGATTTCTATAAAAGAAGAATATGTGGTAATATCTAAAAATGCTTTGAACATTTTACTACAGTTTTCAACATCCTATATATGTGAATAAGATTTTCTATCCTCAACACAATTAAGAGTAAAAAGAGATGAATTCTTCAATGTATTGACGAGGAAATGAGAGTTTGCCTTTCAAATATATTCCCAAACATTGAAGAACTCACTAGGACACATCAGGCTCATGTTTCTCATGAACACAAGAATGAAAAAACTTAACACATTTGTTCCGGACTTGCCAAATTTACTAAATCTTGCTATGAATGTATTTATATATATAAAAAGATAACTTTTTGTTGATTTTTATTTTTTAATCCTTCAATTTTATGAATCCTAAAAAGCATAACTCAAAAAATGTAACACAAAAATATTTTTTAATATCAGAGTAAAATTTAATTTTGTCGTATTTATTTCATTTAAGTACTATAAAATTACACTTGGACTTTATATTTTTTTTCTTTAATATTTGACTTAATTATTATAACATATTTCTCAGAAATTTGTATATAGTTGCACCTACAATTTTTTGTAGGATTTTAAATGTGCCCTGACTTCAAAAAGTTTGAGAACCACTGGTTTAATCTAAGGACTAGGACAATATTACATGATTTAAATACTTTCTGTATTTTTTCAAAAATGACAGGAATATAATTCAGCTTTTTATAAATTAGTTGCATTTGTGATATTGTTTTATAGTGTTATTAAGCCATTTATTGATTATTCTATTAGGATACCCATTGAGTTGTAAAGTGCAATATATACTATGTATGTTTGATTTGTTTATTTTGGTCCATGTATTGGTTGTATGTTGTTTAATTTTATATATGTATTAAATATATTACTGAAAAATTCAACATGCCATTATTCTGTTTCTCAATGTCAATGCATATATTATTTTGGATATTATTCCTGCAGTCAAATGTTATTTGAGTATTAATTAAGTCTTATATTGATGAATGTCTTGTTATTTACGACACAGTAAATAACAAGGCAGTCATCAATGTTTCTATTTTATTTTATTTTACAATAAAATGTATCTATTGTAAAACGTCACACTGTGAAAATTAGAGATCTCACTTGACAGCATCAAAATTATCAAAAGGAAAAAAAATATGTAAAAAGGAAACTATTTGAACATGTAGAAATCATTAAAATTAATGAAAATAGAATGAATTTATTTAAAAAATAGAAGAAATTGAAATGCCTTCATTATGTCCTTTTATACAAGGTGTTAGATCACCACAACTCTATTGTTAAAGGAAAAGTATGATGTACAAGGGCAAGACACTACAGTACTAATTTGAGGTAGAGAGCATATAATTTAAATTAAAAAAATTAAAAATATGATTAAAAATTGCAGCCAGGCATTGTGACCATGTCACAATAAATAATTGCTTGTTGTATTTTAATAATATTTTAAGGCTATTTTTATTATTTAATTTTAATTACTTTTTATTTGTTTTACTAGTTTTGCCCCTTTTTTAAAAAATGTTTTATTTCAGTTACTCCAATAAATATACCATCTCAGGTAAATTTATTTTTGTGGGTTTTACATATGTATAAGGTACAGGTATTAAATAGTTGTATAATAAGTTTTCTACAGCAGTTCTGCACTTACTTCCAAAGAGAGTGCTGGCACTTCTCATGATAACTGTTATATGAATTATTTATAAACAACTTTTATTAATTAATTTATTTATAAACAGTCTTTAATGTACAGGGTGATTGCAAAAGAATACCCCAACTTTGAAAGACTATATCTCCACAACTTATTTCACCATTCCATAAATCATTGTGTAGGAAACGTTCTGAAGTTTCAGTTGATTGTCGAGAGATGTTGCTATGAGCACCCTTTATCATCCTATGAGAGTGTTTGTCCATTCATCTCAAAATGGTGACCGCACAACAGAAGGTGTTTTGTGTTATTGAGTTTGCTAAAACTGAACTGGGAGGTTTAATTCCATATGTACAACAATACTCAT